AATTTCTTTAACAAATAATAAAAAAAAAACTTCTGTAAAGTAGTATAGATTGGGATTATCAGTCAACAGTGGGTGTTGTAATTGCACACCAGGTGGCAGTCATGAGCTTTGCTCATAGAAATCATTAAAGAAATTAACGCTATTATTTTATCAACCTCAGTGTTCTTTGGTTTTCACATTGGAATAACAATACATAAACATACAAAACAAAAATGCACATTAATATCAAGTATATTGTTGCTAGCATTCGTACTAGGATGATCACCTCTTCCTTTTCATCCTACAGTCATAAAACCTATTCCACATCTGAATATTATATATGGTGAACAACACAGGCATATATTTGATCCCTAATGCTTAAAAAAGCTTTACCTATATATAACTGTCCTTTCAATCTTCATGAAATCCAGGCAGACTAAAGGACACTGCAAGTGTCTTGACTGATGCAGGTGGGCTCAGTGTTGGTGGTCAGAGTTTCATGAAATCATGGACTGAGCTGATTTAATGGGCAGCACAGAGAGGGGAGGAGCAACAGAACAGTCCCTGGACTGATCTGAGTAGTCAGTAACCATAGAAACGCCATGCTTTTGGGAAAGAGGACAGACTCCTGTTTTGTCTGTGGTCACTAATGTTTAAAGTCTTGAAACCATTATTATCTCCAGAACTATGAACTAATTGTGACTGCATATGGCATGACAATATCATCTGACTGCAAAATACTGGAGCTTTTCTTTCTTTTTTTTTTTTGATTGATAGAGAAATGTGTTTGATTATTAATATCAAGAACATAATCCAGTATAGATGCACACTGCGTCTAAATAATGTCTCTCTGTGTGTCTTCATCCAAAACACTGTTCCATTTAAGATTTGATTTATTGCAGGGGAGGACAAAAAGGATCCCAGCTCCCAGAGGGCCAGGAGAAACTCTGATGTTGTTGGATAATTCTTGCTGAGATGTAGTGTTCTTTCATGCAGTTCCAATACGCAGCACAGCAAGTTTAGGTGTAAAGTTACAGTTAAGGTTAACATAGAGATCCAAGCCACTTATCTATTGGACCATGAGGAGGTTGCTTTCCTTCAGTGACATTATTGCACAGATGAGTAATTTATTAAAATGTCATGCCATTTACAAATTGGCCCCCTTTTGAGGGAAGCTAACCCTAAAACAACTCTAAAATCCTACTGTCAGCAAAATTGTGCAAAGATCATGTCTGCCACTATTGCTGTAGACGGAGGGAGGCAATATTAGGCTAAGACATTGTTTAACGCCTTCAGCGAAGATTAATTGAGCCACTTTAAAGATTATGCTGTGTGTTTCAGAGAAAAAGAACGCAGATGCTGACATTTTGAGTGCAGATTTATACTGGCGAGGAAGCACTGAAAAATGACACCTTGCAATGCGGAATTGAGGATTAAAGCTTAAAAAACAAACTCTAATCCAGAGAAAATAAATTATCAGATATAATCATTACATAGCTCTCTAAATACTCGATTCTGATTGGTCAATAGTAGCATCCTGTGATTATTACCTAATATTCACTGTGGTCCATGGCAATAGTGTATCAGTCTGCTCATTTTTGCAACTGAAACCGTTGCTTCTGTCATACCTCAGAGTACTTCTGTATTAATGTTATTGTAACACTGTTGCAGTATATTCGTCAGCTATCTGATGCAACTGATGAAAGACAACAAAGGTTTTACACATGTTCTGAATGGATCAAATGAAAGTGCACAAGAGCACTCCTTTTATAATCACTAAAAATCTGTCACTCATTTTAGTTCATGCAATCTCACAAAGTTCCCTTATAATCAACGAAACTGTCTACACTGCAAAATGAATATTTTATTTACATTGTGTCCACTCTTTGTTATTATGAGAGGATTCGCGAGCGTGCAGAACTCAGCACTTTACAAAAACTCTGGCATTTTTAGCGAGGGATTCTGATTGGCCAATGCATTCAAGAAAACAGAGATGTCTGTGTTCTTCTTAACTCAAACACAAATACATACTGGATTGTTGTCGAAGAATTAGATCTGTCTTGGGTGCCTATACGTCATGTTCTGACCGGAATTTCTAAATTGCCTCAAATATCCATGTTTCGGCTTTGTTTTTCTATTGTTTTCATACTTGTTGAAGGTAATGATTGAAAAGTAGTTCGACCAATAGCATGCAGGCTTTGTAATCGACCAATCGTGACGTGTGAGAAGGTGGGATCTACAGAGAACAATGAACGCAATGCATAATGTATAATATAGGAGGAAAAGAGAGCGTATATATGAGAACAAAGCCAAAACTCTGACATGTTAGGCAATTAGAAATCCCGTATGGACGTATGGGCACTTTCACTGTAAGTTTTTACCTTGAAATATCAGTTTCAAAATCCTTCTGATGATGGTACACTGACTAAAAAGGTGAATTGCCTCTTTTTCTGTCCCACAAAATTCTGGCTCCAAAATCGCAAAAATACACAAACAGTTGCTTTGAATCAGTATTAGGCTACATGTCTTTTTATTTATTTGATGAGCATACAGAATAGTGTACAGTCAGTCGGTGATTACTGATATGATCAATGAGATATGACCGTTTTCCTATAACCATGTTAGAATATACAGTATATGTCCATATGTGTCGTTACCTCTTAAAAAATTGCCACCTTGAATCAGCAAAGCCAAAAATGAGACCAAAGGTAAAAAGACATTTCAGTATCACTAAAAATCACTAAAGGGAAACCTAGAAGAGTGTAACTTGCTGTGCAAGGTAATGATATCTGGGACTTTTCAGAGTCTCGTTGCAGATGAAAGAATGAAATGAAGCAGGGTAAGTGTAGGATTTGCCTTCACTGCTGCATATGCGATGCAGTGCTGGGAAGTGCTGAGAGCAGGGAAAAACTGCACCCTGTCCTGGGTCCGTGTGGTACAACATCACCTTTAAACATTGATGTTTCTTTCTTAGTACTTGTAAGAGGAAAAGGAGTAATATAGAGTCAATATGTCTCTTATGTTCTTTCCTAACTAGCTCAAACAGTGCATGGTTCTGGCAACCACAAGACCTTGGGTTTGATTCCCAGGGAACAGATAAAAATTACTTCTATAGATCTTAGTCAGCATAGATGTCATGTTATATATATATATATATATATATATATATATATTTATAATTGGAATTGTTTTTGTTTACACAACTGTGACAAATATGTATACAAAAAAGCTTGTCAAAACCCTGTCTTTAATAGAGATGTATGTTCTGTGTCAAGTATGTTGAGGTTTGCATTGCTTGCCTGCAGCCTATCTTCTTTCATATGAATCAGGTGTCACACATATTCATACATATATGTATGTATGAAACTACAGCAAGTGACAACTATAGCCTTGGTCAAAAATGACCACTTGAAACCCCCTGTGGGGCTTTCAGGGTTGAGTTTCACTATACACTGACATATTCACACACAGCTAAACGATTGAATCTATCTATCTATCTATCTATATATCTATCTATCTATCTATCGGTCTATCTGTCTATCTATCATGAAAAAAGCCTCTATAACTTCTTCAAAATTGTGCATGTTATTATTATTATTAAAGAGGCCTTTCATGAAAAATTGTCAGTATCAGGGTGCATGTTTCTATCTGAGCACTTTAAGTTTCGTTGAAATAAAAAATACGATTTCCCCTTGTGCACACAAAACATCTAATGAAACTGAAGGCCTGCTGCAAATGAAGGTGTAGCAAACCGTTTTATACCCATTGTTCAAGTGAAACCTGCACAGCTCTTTACAAATAGGTTAATACTACAGCGCAATTTGCAACAAAATGACAAACATTTTTATCTACTGATTTATGGGTACTACAACAAAACAAGCTATAATAGCTCAGTCTATTTACAGCAAATTTCAATAAACAGAAAGTAGGAAGTGTGTGAATCTAAATATGTGTGTAAATATGTAAATCAACATATAAATATAAAGTTTACATAAAATGTTGACTTTACAAAATTTAAGGTAGTATGTCATGCCTGCTTAAAGAAAAAAATACATTTTAGTGGTGGCTAGATATCACTTGTCACTGGGGAAAATGCGATTTAGGTATTTATGTACAAATATTGGCTAATTCGAATTAATTAATTTTTGAGTAAATTGGTTGAGTGAATGATTCAATGATTCACTCATAAAGACATGGCCTACTACAATTCCTGCAATAAAGTATTGTAGACATAGGAAATGAGTCGAATTCAGCCAGTCACTTGTGTCCTTAAAAAAGGGAAGCAGTTTTTTCAACAAATAGGTTGAGTGAACTATCCAATGACCCACAAGGACAGTCCCTTGTTTCATTTCAGTGTTTTGAAAGAATTGATGAATGAATGAGCAATGAAGCACTCATAATAGTCTCTATATAGTCCTCCTACTGGAGTATTGATGTAACCTGCATAAAGATCCCCACATCTGTTAATTTTTCTCCAATTGTAAATAAATAAATAGTTTGAGGTATTTAGATTCACCTCAATTATTTAGTTCTCAGTATCTCATATAAATGGAATATATAAACTACAGAAAGATGACTATAATATTTGCTATTTTTTAAATCATTTTATAAATGTTTTTATTAATATTTTTCAAAACAGTAGTGACCAAAATGTATAGCGACACCTGTAAACTCCAATAAAAACGTTATTATTATGCATACATTTAAAAACAAGAAAATCAAATGAAATGGTACATTTGTTTTAAGACCAGTCTAGTGGTCATCCTGCGGTCTAAGTGAAAAATACTTCTGTTTTAAAAACGCATGGCAGGTAAAAGTGTGGAGCATGTTTATTTTCCCATGGTTATTTTCTGTTTTAAGTGGTGATGGGCTAACTGACATCTCGAATGATCCTATAATAGCTATAACGACAGCAGAATTTAATGAAATTCCGAGCGCGCGTTTACTGACAAGCTTTGATAGCAGCAGCTCTTTGCGTCTTCATCTCTCTCTCTCTCTCTCGCTCTCTCTCTCTCTCTCTCTCTCTATAGAGGGAAGACGCATCCTGTAATAAGGTCACACTTCACTGTAGTCTCAGCATCCGTCTCTCGCCCGTTAAAGCAGAGCAATCGAGACATCAGACAAGCGGAATAATGGTGTGGATGAATGATCTGGGATGTCTTCTCGTGCTGACGCTTGTACGGTTTTCCGTGCAGGTGGACGTTAAGAGCGGGAAAGAAGCGGAGAAAACGGGGAATTTCATGGAAGATGAACAGTGGCTGTCCACCATTTCCCAGTACAGCCGCAAGATCAAGCACTGGAACCGCTTCAGAGATGTGAGTTATCCTTGAGGCGATGAATGATGACATTTGGCTACCTGACTCTCTCTGCTTTAGCTCGTATCAATACCGATTGTTAGGAAGTGTTAAGAATGGTAATGCTGGACAGTCTTATTCCTAAAACACCATTAGTCCTTCAGCATTCCCTTAGAAATCAATCTTCCTTGTCAAAGCAGTTGCATTTAAGATAATAAATAGCTGTTGTTGTGATAGAATAGCTTTGAACTGTTGAGTTCATGCTGTAAATGTACTAAAAGGCTTTAAATATATACAATTATCTATAAAAGACTTTAGACAAATCTTTAAAAGTATCTTGCAAAGGTAAAATGCTCTAAAATTCTCAGATTTTCAGTCAAACCCTAAATATAGCGTACTTGGTAACAATGTACCATCTGTTGTTGTTTGTTTAATTGACAATAGGTTTGATTACAGAATAAAGCAGATTGCATTAGAGTGGCATTGCCCAGCTGGTTGGTGTGATGTAATAATAGGCAACTTTAATAATTGATTAGAACTTCACATGTATTCAGAGGGAGATTTATGGAATGATTTATCTCTCAAAGGTCATGTTGTAGCATGTGTCCTTGTACAGGTATGTTATTTGATCCTTTATTCAATGGCATTTCTTTATAAAATCATCCAAGACATTGTAAGGAAAAACATCCTTTGTTAGTCAAAAATCAATGAATATGCAACACAATCAAAATTACGTATGGTGATGATTAATATTACGACTTCATGTTTATTTATAGTTTGCAGGTGACCTACTGTTCTTGAAAACTAAAAGGTCCTCGGTTGTTTTCTGTTGAGTTTTGCTGCTCCAAATGAAACATTAAACCGTCCAATAGAAACTGTGATTTATCTCCATCAGTGTTTGGCCGGTAGCTATTTTTACCCTTCTAGAACTGGACTAAGTGTATAACTCCTTAAATGATTACGGTGGAAAAACACATATACGAGAACCCGGAATTTATCAAAATGTGGGAATGAAAAGATTAAGTGCGAATTAGACTGGGATTATAAATAGATGGGCACAGCGTTTCTACATCAGTGGCTTACATTCAAACGAGGCCCTGCAGCAGACTTTATATTCTCCAATCAATGGCTATTGATCACACCATCTCAAACATATGAATAGCAGAGGAGCGATGCTTGTCCAACACAGAAAACCAAAACAGCTTTGAGAAAACAAGTCTCAGCCCTTTCACTGTCTCTGACTCAACCATCTAATTAGAATGCAGGTTGTTCTTGCTGCTGTTTCTTGAACTGTACTTGAGGTGACACACTTCAGTAGCACTGAATAGCACTGGCCCATGACATGCTGTCTGCTGTTTTGTTTGGGTTGTCATGTCATTGCACAGATGGGAAGATCCTAATTGTGAATGATTAATGCAAAACGGTATTTTTTAGATAACATGCAGTATGTGCAGGATATGACAGAATCAGGACCCCTTGAATAAGAATATATACCAAAAAAGTAAACTTGTCTCCCAGCAAAACTAATATAATGCTAGAACTTTAATTATAGCTGACTGCCTTAAAAATATTTCATTTGACTGCCAAATGAGTAACTTCTCACCTTGATATATGCCCAACCACACACTTCGTGGATTAACATAATTTGCATTGTAATTGGATATTGATTTTAATGCGCTCACACAGACTGTCTCAACCCTAGCTCCTGTCAAAACAAAGAATCAATATTAAAATGCATTTATATGTGGTTTCATATCATGGTAAACCATGCTTATAAATGTATATATTATTCTGAGATTGCAAGGATTCTGAGACATCAACAGGCCCTCTGACACAGATCAGTACATTTTTAACAGTCACCTGTTATCGTTGATCAGAGACAGAGATGGAACTGATGAGGACTCTGAAATTTAATCTGTCTCTGAACACAGCTTATTTCATCTTTAACGTGTTGCTTGTGACAAAGGCAAATAATCCAAATTGATGCTGGCTTTTAAAGTCCTCTGAGGTTCTCAGAGCAGAATAATGATATAACTCAAGCGAACACTGATGAAAGCAGCAGAACATGAAAGGCTCATAAGCACACGCTGATGCATATATAGATGCGTGTAATTTGCCATTAATATTTCATATTCTTTGTGTATTCCATTCTTGGTTGATTATAACATCTTAATTTTTTAGATACAGCATGAGATCATTGTAATGAGACTGATGTTTAAGTTTATTTGAGAACTCTTAGGAGGTGTCCTCGCTCTGATTACTTTTTGTTTCATTATAAATTGAAATATCAACCCTCTACATTGCGAGTAAATCACTCGCATATGCGACTAAATCTTACTCTGGGCGACTAAATAATGTCTAACATTAGCCATTGGCTAATAAATTCTTAGATTTTACACGCCAGTATGTGTGTGAGAGGCGTTCAACAGATTTTCACTCGATAAACACGCTGACTGAGCGCTTGAGAGTTTCACTCTCCGTCAAACGATCTGTACTATTTGGATGCGCTCAATAGATCATGTCATGTACTAAATGGATGCGCAGTATGTAGCACGCAGCGCACCTGTATTTGACGTACCGTAAACTAGTGTGAAGGCGCACGACTCGCCGTCGCTTTAACTGCTGTGTTTCTCACACATGCAAAGAGAGAGAGCGAGAGTCTTGCATACCACGATGAATCGACGCGATACATGTAAACCATATTCTGTGTTGTATTTTCCTGTCAAAATAACAGAGTTCATTTAGAATTATTCAGCTTTTAAGAACAAGCAAAAGATATGCCGGTTTCTCGGCAGTGGGCGGAGCTAATGCGCAAACAGCTCTCGTTGGCTGGCGCTCATCTATTACCGTCCCTGTTTTGATTTCAGCAAATCAGTTCGAGCAAACGCTGACAACGTGATTAATATTCATGAACCCAGCAAATAATAATAGTAGTAGTAGTAGTATCTTTTAATAATAATTACTATTACCTATATATTACCAACAATATCTTAAACACCACCACCAGTCCTAAGTTCAGTTAAAATGACAAATATGCATTCATTCATGGTTACCAAGTTTTAGTTCTAATCACTAGTTCTATCATTAAATAGTGCTTAATTATCATAATATCATAATATAATGCTTGATTGGCTGAAGTTAAGAGTGCACATTCAGTTATTTAAGAAGCTGTTCCATTTTACAAAGATAAACTGATTGGGTGGAATCATGTGTGTGTGTGTGTGTACTTAACCATATTTTGGGGACAAATTTGTACCCAAAAGTGAGCAAAGCCTGACAAAATCGGCAAAAACCTCAATTTGTGGATGTCCTCATTTGTAAAACTGTTATAAAAATAAAGTAAACAAAGTTTTTTTTACTTTTGAAATTGTAAAAATGCAGAAAGTTTTCTGTGAGGGGTAGGGGTGGGTTTAGGTTAAAAAGTGTATAACTATCTGTATATAAAAACAATAGAAGTCTATGTAATGTCCCCATTTAGATAGCTAAATAAACGCGCGCGCGCGTGTGTGTGTGTGTGTGTAAAATAGTATATCAGTCTGGCGAGTAAACAAAAAAATTTACTAGCCAATGGCGATTATATTGCCAAGGTGTGCATAGAGGGTTGTAATGGCTCTATATAATTAGAGGATATTGTTATATTAATGACAGTTATCAAATGACTAATTTATGATATTTGCTCAGGTGGGTGCTGTGGTCTTATCTATCGGATTGCAACGCGCATTCTTGTTAACAGTTGTGAACATTACACATAGTGTGTGTCTGATTAGAGTTAAGCCAGCTGGCATGGTAGCCCAGGCACACATAGCCATAGGCCACTAGTGTTAAGCCCGTCTGTGTGGTAGCATAGGCACACATAGATAATAATACATGTGGTTCACATGGCTCTTCGGAGCAGCAGCAGTACCTATGTCTTTGGCGATAGATCTGCTTTGTGGGGGGTGTCTTGTTCTATTCCTTTCTGTTAATCTTCATGTGTGTGGGGACATGTGCGTATGTGCACTGATGCAGCAGTTATATCCTTATACTCAGCAACATGCACATATTGGCTTGTATTCTTCATTTCTGTGTCTCCTGCTTTGTGGGGGGTTATTCATATATGTTATATGTGCAAATTAAATATTCCTTACATGCTCACAGCAGCATGTTGTGGATGTATTGGCAGTAGCAGCAGCAGTGTAGCAGATCTATTCTGCCAAGACCAAATACATTAACATTGTCATGTACATTACAATGCAAATCACTCCGAGAGTTATGACAGAAATACAAAGTTATGGCATGAAACTATAGATGGAGCAGTCTGAACTCAATATGACATAATGATATCAATATCACATGGCACGGCTGATTGGTTCTCTCCTGTAATGGTAGCCAATAAGCTCGCTGCTCAACATCCAAATACTTGGCAGTGTTTGCTTTAGCAGTAGCAGCACACTTCAGAAACCCTCCACCTTCCCCAACTCCACCTGTATAGATTTGCTACGGGGTGATCATGTATTCTATGGGGGTTATTCATATATGTTATATGTGCAGCAGCAATATTCCTTACATGCTCACAGCAGTATGTTGTGGATGTATTGGCAGTAGCAATTCTCGGTACTTGCTCTGCCACAGCTCAAAAAAGTTAAAGGAACACTTTTTAATCAGAGTATAGCATCAAGTCAATTAAACGTCTCCGGTTACTATCGTAACCTCAGTTCCATGAGAGTGGGAACGAGACATTGCAGAGCTTCAGGAAAGGTTGAAAGGAAGGAGTTCCCATAGCGGAGAAGCTCTGCGATGTCGAGTGAAGCTTGAGAGGAAACTCCTGGGATATTGGGGTACACTAGATGGGCAGGTACACTAGATGGGCAACAATGAGACGACCCCCAAAACAGGAACGGTTTTACAGGTGGAGGCCACTGAAATTTTTTTCCTACTCATCCTTTCTGACTGGTTTTCACTAGATGTGTTTTCAAATTGTTCCTTTAATTTTTTTTGAGCAGTGTACCATTTAACCATGGTATTTGTACAACTGTGGTTAC